CAGTCTGTGTTATAATCTTATTAATTTACTTGTGCGAGTGAAGTGTGGTCAAATCCAGCATAATAAAAATATCAAAAATATCACTAAGAAAATTAAAATTTCGACGTTTTCTAAAAGAAATATTTAAGGTTTATTATAAACGAAGCAGACTTGTTTAAAAAGTGAGTTCATATTTTTTTTATTTTGTATATCATATAATATAAGTTATTTTTTTTGCTATTATAAATAATTTGTTTTAATGCCTTGCAATTATAAAAAAACTACCCAACAGTGGGTTGAAAATGTGACCATTGTTACAATGAAAATAGTTTATTGAATTAACAATTAATTTGTTGTTAAAATTTACATAAATTTTATTAATATTATAAATAAAGTTTTATTTTAAACGAAAAAGGATTTGTAAAATTTACATAATTTCTATGAATCATACCATTAGTGTTTCATTAATACTACAAAACTTTTTGTAAACGCTATAGAACTGTTTTTTTGGACAAATAATAATAACTATATTTTTTAATGCGATTCTGCATCTGAAAGAGTGTTATTTTTATAAACATAACGTAAATTTACTTTATAATTAATGCAAATGTTATTACTAAAAGCATGTAGTTGTAGATAAATAATTTTTATAAAAATGATCTTTACTTTATTAAAACAAACTACTTTTTTATATTTATTAAAAAAATTTAGTCTAGTCATTTTTGACTAATTCACTTTTAGAGAGTACATATTAATGACTTACATCCTAACTTTCCCATAAATTTAGAAAAGAAAATATAAACATTTCTAGCGTTATATCAATAAAACCAAAAAGACAGGATACACAGGAGTGTGATCGAAAATATTATTTTAGGCTTCGGCTTCCGCACACACCAAACGTACCACCAAATTCGTCAATAGTCACCCCTATAGAGAAACCTATATTATAGGAACTATCAAAACACTAATCGGGTTACCCGATTCGGGTAGCGAGCGTCAAAACATGTGTTGAAGCATGTATTTTCTATAATTAAAACCGGGAGAGATGGCGCAGAGGGTGAGATGGCGCACTCAAATAAATCAGAGGTTTGATGAGTTAGGCAACCAGAATTTTACTAATGCGTTCAGTTTTAATTCTTAGTTGCTATGCTGCAGTATGCAAGTGATTGTGCAATTTTTTATAATATAATCACAGACTATTCATGCATACTTATAAAAATTTGTTCACTAGTTTATAAATTATATCGTTTCCACATAAAATAAAGAAATATATGTAGTTTTGTCGGTATCTATATATAAACCTATCTATATATAAGTCTGTTGAAAATTCCTAACCAACAATTTTAACTAAGCACGCAGTCAAGAAGAAGTAAGGACGTGCGCGGTCTTAACCAACCAAATCGGGTTGGCGCAAGTCGTCTCTCCAGACTTTTACGTATAATAAACTTAATATTTTTTTAAATTTTATTATAGATGCCTACTGACTATAAACGAAAAGAGAGAAAAAGGAAGAAAAAATGTTAACCTTATTTTTTTCGTGGGCCATCTCTCCCCTGCTGTTAGGGTGAGATGGGTTTTTTAACATGTATTAAAGTTTAAAAATAAATGTTTTTTTGCTTACGTGTTTGTATTAGGTCTTATGTAACAAGATTGTATTAGGTCTAATGCGGCAAGAAAGGAAAAATATTAACATCATTTTTTTCGTGCGCCATCTCTCCCGTGCTGTTAGGGTGAGATGTTTTTTTTTAATTTTGCATTTTTAGTTCAAACAATCTTAATTAACAATTTTTAATAACTTTTTTTTATTGAAAATCATTTTATATAACATAATTTTTGGTATAAAACCAGGGTTTGTAATTATTTTAACAAAGGAAAATATTTTACCAAAAGTTTTGTGAAGGTAATATGCATTTTGTAAGCATTTTGTTAATTTTAAAGGTTACAGATTATATTGTTAATATTTGACAAATTATTTCGTTGAAAAAGTACACGTGATTTCAGGCATTCAATCAAAACATTTCCCACTGACAATATGCATCAACAAGTTCAACTAATTTCAGCTTCTGCAACTTCTGCTTACTTTATTCCAATTCGTAACGTGTTCGTAATAAATGTCCATAGTGTTTATAATATATTACCAGAAATCTGTTATTGTTATGCGGATTTCTTATGCCTATTTAACGAGTGCAAAGTGCGAATTATCCAAAAAAGACATCACTGGTTTTCAAACTAAAATTAGGGGATACAGTAAAGTGGATAATAGATAAATTCTGGGTTATCTCGTAAAATTTCTGTAAATTCGTATAATGCTTATAATAATATAATATAATATAGTTTATTTGCTTCCAAAAAATACAAAGCACGTCAAGGTAAAAATAATATAAGGTAAGAAATGTAATGAGTAAAACATATTAAAATTGGTAAGACAGAACGTATTAAAAACATGTTAAAAATATTACAAAACAAATTATAAATATTACAAAACATTTAAAAGGACAGATTAAAAAATTCGTTGAAATCGTAGATAACATTATCCAATAAAACTTTTTTTATAGTATCTTTAAAATTAGGTTTACTTTTGAGTCTAATATCTATTGGCAATTTATTGAAGAACTTGATACCCCAATGGTTAAATGAGTTTTGGGTCCTGGAAATTCTGTTTTGTGGTGTCATCAAATTTTTCCTATGTCGTGTTCCATATCCATGATTAGAATGGTCTGTATAGGAGTTTTGATTTGAGTGAACATACATTAGACAGGTAAGTATGTAAGTAGCTGGTAACGTCAGTATTTTAAGTTTTTTGAAAAGTGCTCTGCAGCTTGTTGTTTGACCTGTTCCTTCAATGGCTCGTATTGCTCTTTTTTGTAGGAGGAATATTTTGGTGGCCTCCGCTGATGCCCCCCAGATCATTATACCATATGACATTAAACTATGAAACTGTGCATAGTAGGTAAGTATCGCTGCCTGGTTATCTATGATATTACGTATTCTACGAATACAATATATGGATGTTGACATTCTTCTGGACAGCTTAGCTATATGCGTAGACCAGTTTAGACGGCTATCCAGATAAAATCCTAATATTTTTATATGCGTTGGATTTGCATAATTTGTGCTGCATATAGTTGTTTGTGTTTTTTCTAAGTTTAACTGTAGACCATTTGCTTTGTACCATAAATGTGCTTCATCTATGTTTTGTCTTTGTTTGTTGTTAAGGGTTAATATTTCTGTGTGGTTGTTGATAATTGTTGTATCGTCTGCATAGATACACATTTTTGCGCATGTTACGTTTGATGCAAGATCATTTGTGTATAATATGAATAAAAGGGGACCTAAAATCGATCCTTGCGGAACTCCTAGATTTATGTTTTCTTCTTTGGATATTTGACCATTCCATGCGACAACTTGGCGTCGATCTTTTAAGTATGAGCAAAAAATACGGTTGGCTGGTCCTCGCACTCCATAAAATTCCAGTTTTTTTACCAATAGGTTGTGGTTGACACAATCAAAAGCCTTACTGAGGTCCAGGCATCCAAGTTGTGATTTTTGCTTATTGTTAAAGGAATTATTGATTGTTTCGATTATCTCCACCATCGCAGTTAAAGTAGATCTTTCCTTTCTGAACCCGTGTTGGTATGGGCTTAAAACTTTTTTTTGTTCAAGGTATTTGTACAATCTATTTTTAAGTAGCATTTCCAAAATTTTTGATATTGCTGGCAATATAGATATAGGTCTATAATTTTTACTGTTGTTTGGATCATCTTTTTTAAATATTGGAGTTACCTTGGCTAGTTTTAAGTTGTATGGGAAAATTCCCTGTTGGAAACATTTATTAAATATATTACTGAGTACTGTGGAAATTTCTGGAATAACAGCTTTTAAAATTTTAACTGACATACCATAGACATCCAGGGAGTTTTTGGAGCTGAATTTTCGGACTTCTGTCAAAATTTCATCCGATGTTATATCATAAAGGAACATTGAGTTTGTTGAGTCTATATTTAACCTGTGTAGGAAATCCATGGCAGAATTTTCTACAACTTGTAACCCCAGATCATTCGCTACGTTTGCAAAATATTTATTAAAATCATCACATATTAATTTAGATTCCCTATTATTACTTTCTTTTTTTATTTTCGAGTTTATAATATTCCAGGTGGCTTTAATTTTGTTGTCTGAATTTTGGATGTAGTCGAGATCTTTTGTTTTTGAAATGTTCTCTAATTCTTGTTTATATGCTTGTCTTAGTTCTTGATATAGGCCTTTTGAGATTGTGTCTTTTCTTACCAGTGCTATTGTATGGGCTGCATCAAGTTGGTTTTTTAGAAGTTTTAGTTCTGCTGTTGTTTTGTATTTTTTTACCCTGGACGATAACTTTATATTTTTTTCAGGAAATGAAGAGTTAAAATGGTTCAATAGAGTAGTATGAAAAAGTTCAAAGGAGATTTCAGCATTTGGTTCCCTCAGTACTTCTTCCCAGTTTGTATTAGCCAGCTGATGTTTAAAAAGGTAAGTATTTTCTAAAGAAAGAGATCTGATTTTTTTAAATTTGTCTTTTCTAGATTTACTGGTACACTGGATGCTGATAGAAAGTTTTTGAGCGAAATGATCTGACAAATGTGTATTTATTGTAGCTTTATTAACAATATCGTTTCTATTTTCGATAAAGATATTATCTATACAAGTGCTACTATTTATAGTTACTCTGGAGGCTTCTGTAAAAACATGCTCTAAATTACAACTTTTCATAATTAAAAGTAGTTTTTCTTTCTCATTTGAATCCTTTGTCAAGTCTACATTAAAGTCCCCCGTAACAATGATTTTTGCATTTAGTTTGTGTAGATAGTTTAATGTTTGATCCAGTTTAGTTATAAACAAATCAATATTTCCTTGCGGCGGTCTGTAGATGCATAGGAGTATAATGTTTTCTTGTGTAATATGTATTCCTGAGAATTCTACTTCCTTTTCTATAGAATATTCTTTGAGGTGTTCAAGCAATTTCCATTTACAGTTTTCGTCAAGCAGGATAAGGCTTCCTCCACGTATAAAATGGTTTCTGCAGAAATGACTTACTATGTTGTAACCATTTATTATAAATTTTGAAGCATGTTCCTCTTTTAGCCAATGTTCGGTTATACAAGCTGCATTAATATTTTCTTCCCTCAATATGTGTCTTAAACCCTCGATCTTAGATGAAATTCCTTGTATATTAAAGTTAATTATATTAAAAGTATTAGATGATGTATTATTTAAACTCTGCTGCTGCTGTGTTTCGAAAAAACTTGAATCTCCTGATAATAATGTCCCTAGGCCAGAATTCCGGCTTGTTTAGTTCCTCCAGCAATGAAAGCGGAAAACCAACTTTGAAGGACATATTTTGGCTCTTGTTTTCACTACGTTTTGGAATTTCTTCAACTATAAAACTCGTCTCTTGGTGTTTTTCTTCTAGATATTTTATTATTTGTTTACTTTCGGTACCTTTTTTGCAGCCGCCTATATATAACCACGCTTTACGATCTGCAGCAGCAAACTCATGGTTGGTTGTTGCAGTGCCTCTCATAATCTTTCGTTTAGGTTTTCTATTTACTTTAGTCCAATCATATTCGTTGTTTTGATCTTTTGTTTTGACAGCTTCCTGCTCTTCTTCTTCTTCTTCTTTTGTAGTTGCTTGAGGTGCTTGCGTGGTAGACTTCTTTCTTGTACTAACGGTGTTTACTGGGTTGCATACCTTAGGTTTAGTAATTTGATGATTTGGGTTATGTAAAACCACGTTGCACTCTAATTTTTTAATCACTTCATCCTTTCCTATTATGGTTTGCTCTAGCCATTCGACTTTTTCTGTTAGAAGTTTGTTGTTCAATCTCGTCTCCGCCAACAATAACTTTAGCAGATTGAAGTTTTCGGTATTAACCTCACTCGGCATCACTTCTGCTGATTTTTCGGAACTACCAAGCTGTAATCCACAGCACTGTTTCACCCTCTTTACACATCCATTATGGGTCACTATAGAACACTTTGCACATGATATTCCTGATTTTGCTATGATTCCACAGCCTTTACAGCACTTTTCTTTATTAGCAATTGAAGATGCACCTAGCTCGTCGGCCATCTTTAATATCTATTGAATCGTAAAAGTGGCAATTCTGGGATGTTATCTGTAAATGCCCAATTTAAAGTAGTATATAAACTAGTATAAACGAACTACTGCAACTTCACGCCTATTTACTTACGATCAGACATAACCTATATTTTTATATGTATTATTTGGTTAATCCACAGTTTATCGGTTTTCATTTATGTATCAGCATATAATATAATACAAAAAGTAAGATATTTAAACTGGTTGAGAAATAAATTGAGGTAAGATAATTTTTCATTTAAAAAGAATAATATATAATGAATAAAATTGTTAGTGCGTTGAGTGAAGAAGTCAATCTATGGTTAGTGGTAACGCAAAAGCAACAAAGATAAAAAGATAAAAAACACCACTCCTCAACTGTTGAACTATATTTGGATGCAATGGATGGAGATTATCCATTGGGCCAACCAGGGCAGGATAAATTTGAACAAGGAGCAGAAAATCAAAAAAAAACATTTTGAGCTTATTAAAAACTATTTAGAAAATTGTAAGCTGAAAGAACAATTAGGATTTGAAATGAAAAAAATTTGACCTATTAATTTTTGATTAATTAGAATATTTATTTATTTTGTTGTTTATTTCTTTTTTGACCGAGTAGGCTGTGGTTTATTTTTTTTAAGAATAGGTATTATTTTATTTTATTTTCATATGTAAAATAAAAATATAAAGTTTTTGTATTAGGTAATACAATTATTGTTTTATTTAGTCAAAATTGAAATTATTTCTAATGTAGTTAGCCCAGGCTGCTTGTCCCAATTGATAAATATTACCATTATCATATCCACATTGACATTATTAAAAATATTCATGTTTTTAATTTTTAAAATAGCTTTACATAACCTAACAAAAACAAACTGTAACTAGCAACGATTGGGAAACACCCGATCTTAAATATTTACGATTCTATAAGATTTTCTGTAAGCTACAGGAAGCGCAGAATTGCAAGTTGTCTATAAGCTTATAGAAAGTTACAGATTTGCTTATAGATGCTTACAGATGTGCTCAGAATTGACCTATAAGTATTGTGTCTTTATAACTGTATGATTTCAAAATTGTGTGTTTTTTAATTATGTGTATATTATTTTTGTGTTCATTTATGTGGGCATGTTTAATTTTTTGTTTAGGAAATTGATTAATAAAGCAATATTTCTTATCTTATTCTTTTCATTTAAATTCCCAATATCCAACAAATACTTTTGTTACTGGGTCTACAAAAATGTTTGTAAAAATAAGGTCCTTCTTAAGAATTATGGTTTAATTATTGACAGTATTTTGTTATTAAATCTACAATATGTTTTTTATAATTACAAACTACTTTAAGTAATATTCAATTAGTTAACAGATTACAGTTGATTGATTGCAAACTTAAAATAGAGTTATGTGGACCTGGATTAACATAAAATGTGGTTAAATGGAAGAGCTGGCCGAGAAAAGACATTCACTAAGGCAAACAGAACAATTTCAGGTGCACCCGGTTATATTTTAAACCGACAGTACTACATACCACCCATGCACGTGCAAGATATGAAAAGGAGAAGACCCATCAGTCACTGATGATCAGTGTGTGAGTTGTGATCTTCTGTTCACCAGTGAAGGTTTCTTGCAGAGGAATTTGAAATCTACCGTCCATAAGAACAGGTCTTATTGTAGAGATCTAAGATGGTCTCTCAAGGTAACACTTATCCAATGAGTTTCCAGTTTGCACCATACTAATGATATTTACAACTATAAAACGTACTATTTATATACATATATATGACATTTAAGAAATACAATAAATAATAATTCCTAAATTAAAACAAATTTTCATCAATCCTAATTAACAATTCTTAATAAATATCATGTTCCGTACCCCTCTAAACATGCGTCGAGTTTCACAAAATTCTTGAAAATACCTATCTTTATCTCAAGAACCAACGATTTTTACTAAGGTCCTGTAGATATTGTGATTAGTCATGAGCTGGCCTATCAGTTCTCCAAAGGATATCGTTGACTTTGGGACACCCTGTATATGTATTAAGTTTAAGTTAAAAAAGTTAATACAATTTTTATAATTTTAACTCTTTAAGTCTCAAAACTAAACTATTTAATAAACCGTAACAGAGTTAAAGAAACTTTTATTATTTCCAGTACGGGAATCTTTAAACAGCACAACGGTTTTTGTATTGTTCATCTTTTACGGGAGGAAGGAAGGAAGGAAGGATGGCAAACTATAAATTAGAAAGAAAAAGCCCCAAATTATGAAAAAGCTGTCCATGAATCCTTAACAGGGCAAAAGAAATTTAAAATACACTTTTTTAATTATATTCTAAATTAACGATTCACGGTTTTGGAAACCCATAGTAAAAAGTTTTTATATGATATTTTTAAACTGAAAGATATAGATGACAAAACGCTAGATAATTATTGTACCAGTCTCCAGACAATACTTTTGGTTGAAAATGATTAAGATATTCGGATACATAGTAATTAAGTTATTTTGGCACAAGTAATTTAAAACATCTAAAGGTTTCATGGAATATTTCAGCATCCGGGATACATACAGCAAATGACCTACAATAATAACGTTTATTGTGAAAAAATTACTTTACACAAATGGTCGAGGTTCTTACTGAGATGTTCCACCTCGCCAGTGACTTAATTAAGTAAAATATTTAACAAAAATATGTGAACAATCAAAACAAAAGGAACAAAAAAAAAGTCTATCATAATAATCCCCAAGATAAAAGACATGTATGATGTTTATATATATAAAAAAATGTATATATATTCTACTACAATAACATAAATACAATATATGTACGAAAATAAGTACCCATAAAAGAACAATAAAAAAAAGAAAAAAAAACTAATCCATTTCTCGTATCCGGGTTTTAATAACATTTTTAAAGGTATAAGTTGGCAGTGATAAATAATTATAAAACATATTAAGTAATTTTGGGGCCATATAAGCAAAAGTGCCTTGAAATTTATTGGTGCGATGTTGTGGTATGTTAAATGTGTTACTTCTTAAATTATGAATGCTCATCCTTAAATTTATTTCTTGTAAAAGATATTCTGGACTATTATTCTTTAATATTTTGTGTAAGAAGACACCATATAAAACTGTTGATCGTTTGTCAATTTTTAATTCATTATTCATGTATGGTGTTACGTGTTCTCTAAAAGGTATGCAATAAACATATCTCATAGCTGAGTTTTGTATTTTTTGTAACGTATATTTAAGTTCTTGCGTTAAAAAATAATAGTACACAGAGTTACAATACTCAATATTTGGATATATTAAACTTTTAATCAATTTTAGTTTTGTACTTGGATTTAAAAAGTGTTTTAGACGGTATAACATTTTTAACTTCATCATACAAGTGGAATATACTTTATTAACATGAGTTTCGAAACTGAGTCTTTCATCTATAATAATGCCTAGATTCTTTGCTGACTGCACCCATTTTATGTTTTGATCTTGAATCATTAGGTTGTTAGATTTTAGGTCAATTAGATTTTTTAATTTATTATTACCAATACACAAAGCTACTGTTTTGTTAGGATTTAATTTAAGTCCGTTATTTGTACACCACTGTACAATACCCTGAAGATCACTGTTAAGTGATGCAGCAGCAGCTTCAAAAGAATTAACATTGAACGACAAATATAATTGGATATCATCCGCATAAAAATGGTATTTGCCAGATTTTAAACAATCGGGAATGTCAAATATAAAAATTGAAAATAAAATGGGCCCTAAGATACTTCCTTGTGGTACACCGTTCTTTATTTGAAGAAAGTCTGAGTATACTTCATTATATCTGACACATTGTTTTCGGCCATACAAATAATTTGAGAACCACAAAACCACATCCTGATCGCAACCAATAAATCTTAACTTCGCCAGTAACAATTCAAAGTTTACCAAGTCAAAAGCTTTACTTTGGTCCAGCAAAACTAGAAAGGTCAACTCCGAATTGTCAATGGCTTTACCAATATCATTAACCACTTTTAATAAGGCTGTTTGTGTACTAAAATTCGTTCGAAACCCTGATTGTAAGGATGGCAAAATATTATTAATATTTAGATATTCTCTTAACTGCATTGATATAATTTTTTCTATTATTTTTGAGACAGCAGGTAATATACTCAGAGGTCTGATATCTGTAAGATTTGTTGCATTGTCAACCTTAGGGAATGGCAGAACTACACCAGTTTTCCATAATTCAGGATAATTTGAAGTTTCTATAGAAGAATTACATGATGTATCCTGGATGCTAAAATATTCTATGAAACCTTTAAGCCGGATTTATAGTTCTAAAAAGTAAAAGTAGCAGTAGCAGTAGCAGTAAGCCAGTGTTGCCAATATAATAATATAATAAAATGTCTGCATAAATGTCTGCAATGTGATTGGCTGGAGTAGGAGTAGCAGCAAGAAAAGTTAAAACTATAATATTATTATATTGGCAACACTTGCTTACTGCTACTGCTACTCCTACTTTTTAGAACTATAAATCCGGCTTTAGATGTTTAAAATTACTTGTGCCAAAATAACTTAATTACTTTGTATCCGAACGAATTTTATTAACACTCCCTGTATCTGTAGCTAGTGATAAAAGAATTGTTTAAAAATTAAAACTGATAAAAAAACTATTTAATAACTTCAATAAGCCAAAAAAGACTTAAAAATTTATCATTATCTATTGAATCTACATTAGCTGCCACTCTAGATTACACATTTTTAATTAATTATTTGCTAAAATAAAAGTTAAAAGGATACAATTATAGTAAAGTCCTGT